TTTCCTACAAAGTTTCTTTCTTTTGAAAATGACTCTTCTTGCCAATCTTTCAACACAGTTTTCCTGTAAACAGCTTTTCTCGCCTGATCTGTGGATCTCTGCAGCTCCTCCAGAGTTACCATGTCGTTATTGGCTATTCTTCTAACACTCTCTTTGCCAACCTGTTTAAGTAGACCATCATGTCTTTGAAGATCTGCAGTTGGTTCACCCCTTATTAATGTTTAGACTGTGCTATAAACAGAGCTCTGGGAGATTTTTAAAGTTGGGGATATTGCTTATAAGCCTGAACCTAGTTTAGACATCTTCACAACTTTCTCCCTGATGTGTCTGCTGTGCTGTTCGGCCTTTAAGATGCTGTTTATTCACAAATAATGAACCTCTGGGATCTTGAACTTTCATATTATTTAAGGGCTTTCCAATAAAGTTAGAATATGATTCATTTTAAATTATTTTGTAAAACAACTGGAAAACTATTTATCTTTTAATCTAACCCTAACCCAGTACTACCCTAAAATGAGGTTTGGGGTTGAAATTAGTTTAAAAGGGAAAAGATGACGCTGATTTCTAATACTGTCTAATAGAGTGGATCTCTGAGCATTTTATGATGTAAACAATCAGTCAAAGAAAAGTGCGATAAACAAGGATTTCCCCACAAACTAGAAGCTAAATCATATCTTTATTAGGGCCATCCAAGCCCCTATCAGCGGCTCGTATCTGCTACGCCAGATTCTCACGTTCAGAAAGTGGGTCAGCCGTGGGTTACAGATTACAGACGAGAGGTTTGAAATGTGGCTCTAAAATTGTTGCATTTTGCTAGATTGTTTCTGCTTCAAACTCTCTGAGCTGTTTTGTGTAAATACTCTAATCTTTCTCTCCCCCAGAGGACTGAGTCTGTCTGCTGATTACTGAAGGGACGTATCAGAGTAGGCCAGGTTAGTCATACCTGAGGTGGCCTCCAGTGCGTAGCTCTGTGGAACATAGCATTCAAGCGCTGTTCTGTTATCAAAGCAACGGCTCTAAAGGTGGCTTTGTGTATGCAGGGTGATGAACTGGCCTGACTTCACACACTGAAGATAAATCCACATCTCCTCAGGTTTGCAAAAGTTACCCTTCTTTAGGAAGCTCCAACTGGAACAACAATTTTCCGTCTGTAACATAACTTCTATTTCTATCCCTCCGTCTGTCCCTCCGTCTGTTCATCCAGAGCTCAGCAGGAATATATGATCTAATTTAGTAGTAGGATTCCAGATTCTGTATTAGAAAACATACAAAAAGAATATATAGCAATATCTGGAAAAGCATTGATTTTTTTTTAATATTTAAACATGTGAACTATAAGTAAAAAAAACAAACCTATAGAATTTACCCACATGAAGGGAACCATTTCCCCTCGGTTTTTTAAAGTAGACTTATATTATATTAGTATGTGTATCTAAACAACTTTGAAATACAAAGATAAATGAGGTGAAATCTACTTAACATTTCTGGATACATTTCCATATTTTAATTTCACATGGAAAGATCTGAGGAAGGTATCAAACCCATGAAGTCCAACTACAAGCAGCACCATTTGCTTTTTATCAAGCAGATGATGAAATATCAAAATTGACTTTTTCCAACAGAAAAAAATTGAAAAAAAAAGCAAAAACATGATTTTTATGGTTAATAGACAGTTAGCTTTAAATAATTAAAACTCATTTTAAACATTGCACTCTTTCCTTGTAGCAGGATGATCTGAATAGTGCAGCAGAGTGCGTATAGGAACCAGAATATTTTGGTAAATTTGATTGGATATTTAAATTATGCTATTAACAGAATGATAGGATTTACCCATTATACTTTATCTATTTGCTTCTACGAATGTAAAACAGATTTTGAAATCATTTGCATGGATTGTGTTTGCCATTTAGCAAAAAAAAAAAAATATTCCTTAGAGTACAGAAACCATCTGATCATAGATATATGCAGCACAGCATGTGCATTGAACCATTAGGAAAAGGGGAGGATCAAAAGCAGAGGCATCAGATATAAATTAAACAGATAGAAAATAAAAGAGGGGACTTATTTTAAGGTCTTAGCTGAGAGCTCTTTGGGAATCACATTTCTGAAAATCATCTATTTCAGATTGTTTAAACTGTTTCGCCTTTCTGGATGTCATATATTTAGCAGAACCAAGAGGAAAACAATCGTTTTTGTAAAAAGAGTTTGTTAGTTCAATGCTATGGTTTCTGGTATATAAGTTTAATAACTCCTAGCTGGTAAATTCCTTTTTCACGATGATGATGCATGATGAAGGATGCATAAGCAGTTAATGCTGCTCAGTGTAAGATACAAAAGAGAAAAAGCTGAGACAGCCTGTGTTGAGGGGAAGGCCAACTCTGGGAGAAACAGCCAAGCAGGAGGCTGGCCAACTGTGCAGGCCTGCAAGTCGCCTGCAAAAACTACATCAAAATATGATTTTACTGCTTATATGCTAAGATGGTATCCATGGTATTCCAAACTTTTGTTATTTGTCTTGCAAAAGAACTTATACCACTCTAACTTTTTCCTGTTTTGTGATCTATGTTTTTGAATTTTACAGCCCAACAGTAATTAGAGCATAGATGTAAAATGGCAGATAGGTTTCATGAAAATGGGATGAAGGTGCAGCACATCCAGGGGCGGAGCTAGATGGGGGGCCAGGGGTGGCCATGGCCACCCCTGTCGCCACCCATACTATTTTTTCCCCCTCTAATACAAATGGTGGGAGCAGTAATACTCTCAAGGGGAATATTCAAAACATTTTAATTTTTTTGTGGTTATTTATACACATCAGTATATTATTATCAAAGATGATAAGTACAGAATTCATGCTCTTTTTAGAATTAGATTTAGTGTTACATGGGGTAAAGAGAAAATGATGTGTCTCTGCAAGTCATCTAGGAGTGAAATCATAGATAAATAAGAAATGTAATAAAAACTTATCAAATAATCAATTTATGTAGATATTAGTGCTTTTAAATATCAATTTTATGCAGAATGTTTATTGATACAAGCAGGTAAGTAATGACAATGGAAAAGATTTATGCCCCAGAACTCAAAGCTGAGTTTTATCCATTACACCTTTTATCTAGAAATTACGGGTGTTCAAGGTGTTTAAATATATGTCTCTATTTGTTAGCAAAGGCTGTATGAAAGTAGGAATCTTGATTTAGAAAATATGAATGTTTTGCTTTTTAATTTTCCTGTTGGAACAGTGTAGGCTGACCCTGAGGTTCTGGTGCCTATCCGCTTTCAGCCACCCCCCAAAATGTACATTGGTTTTTGCCTGGCCACCCTTATAAGCTATTTCTCGTTACGCCTCTGAGCATCCGGTGCTTTTTGTGATCTGTTTTCGCAAACAGACTTAAATCCTAATGTCTGTAAACATTGATATTTAAGTCCTGCTGAAAATTCTGAATTGGATTTCGGTCTGGACTTTGACTGGGCCATTCAGAGTGATTCATCTGTTCTAAACCCCCGCAAAAGAAATTAGTGTTTCTTTCTTCTGCTTCACAGAAATCCACCGCTTTTGGTTGATCTAAATCAGAATTAGTTAAGGGATTGTGTTTATTACTGCCATTTCGTAGGAAATGAAAGAACCATAGTAGGAAAAAAACTGTGAGCCAGACAACCAGGATGGAGACGAGGGGCGTTAATGGAGCATGGAAGCAGGATCTAAGAAATGTACATAAAACATGTAAGGTATACCGAATTTTAAGATGCTCATGTGCAAAATTTAAAACCTTGCCTATATCTGCTCCTTGTGTTCAGACAGAACTCCTAAACTTGAAGATTCTCCTCTCCACTTTTCTTTCCGTTTATTTGCTTTTGTTGTGTCGCTGATCGTTTTCCTTGTGCAGGGTCAAGAGGAAGGCCAGTAGTTTCTGGAGTGGTCCTGCTCTCACTTGGTGCCTGATGGGTTGTGCAGAGGAGATGTGCTTTGAGGCTCTCAGCAGGATCCGACCATGTTTAGTCTGCTTGGTCCTACATGTCGCACACCACAGTCATTTGGTCAGGAGCTGTTTCAACAAGCTGCTGCTATTCCTGTGGCAGGACCTCGCCAAAAAATACCCAGACTGATTGAATGGGTGCAAAGGGTGCTACAACTAAAACCGTGATTTTTCTTTTGAAGCATCTTGATTTCTTCATATTAAGGTGGAAAAACAACAAATGCACATCTTTTTTTCCCACATTTTTGCCTTTTTTAATAAGAAAAATGAAACATGAATCAATTTAATCACATGTAAAACCAACGACAACAAAAAAAAAAACATAATATATATTATATCAACACACTTTCAGAGTTTGAAAAGGAAAATAGCTTAAATAAAAGACATTATTTTTTTGGGAAACCGAAACATGTTTCACAAAGGACATCATGTGACCTGAAACTCCTGCACTTATCAGGAAAAAAAAAATCCTTCAGCAGATTGTCGACACATTGATCTCTTATCAGATCAGCAGGCGTTTGAAGAAAAGGCACTTTTTGGACGTTGGAGGGCCGATTGAAACCCCCCCGACAGCATCAGGTGGGTGTTCCTATGCATTGTTGTAACACACACACACAAACACACACACGCCATCAGCTCACCTGGCCTGTGGGAGCTCCAGAGTGCAAAGTACTGTATGTAAATCCTCCTCATAGTGCATCTCACCCTCCCTTTTCTCACTGTTATGGTAACTGACTGATCTCCTCTTCAAAAAGCTCAAGTCTACAAAAACCCATTCACTCTCAAGGCTGCCATATATGGAAAAAATATATGGAATATTAGGGTCATGAAACCAATTTATAATGTTTTTCTTCTTTTTTATTTTTTGACTTTTTTTTTTGTTTATGTTTTTTTTAATTTGTTTTTTGTTTTGTTTTTCTTAACCACAGTGGCTTTGTTTAATTTCATCCAGGGCTTCAGAGTTTGTTGCATTTCTTTTCAACTGTCCTGATTGTACAGAAATAACATTACCTTATTTGGGTGTTTTTAATTTTTATTTTTTAATGACCAAAAAAATGCTGTAACACAAAACTGAACTGTCTCGCATTGTCCGAAGCAGTAACCTAAACTCGTTTTCTCTGCAAAAACGAAAAATTTAACTTGGGTTGTAACCGGCCCGACTTCATAAGATATATTAAAATTTATTCCCTTCATAAATAAATGCAAACCTCCTGACCCCCCCCTCCCCCTCCCATGCACATTTCCTCTATTTACATTGTATACAGGTTTAATTTTCGCCCTGCAAGGACGGAATCTGACTTACAAACAGATACATTATCTTCATCTTTTCGAATGTCCCATTGTCCAGCTCCTGTAACTACACAGTCTCCTTCTTTGACAAAAAGCAAACAGTTGTGTGGTCCCTCGGACGCAGCAGCCGTTACCTGTGAAGACGGCTGAATGTGAGCCAAATGAGAGTGAAGGAAAGAGGAAGAGAACCACAGCTTCGGTGTCCATTTTAGAAACACAAGCCTCCATCTTGGCTCACCTCTACAGAAAGGTGTGTGTGTCCATATTAGGAGGCGTTGAGCACCGAGCGGCTGTACAGTGTTTGGTAGTAAGCTCCAGAGTCCATGGCAGCCGGGCTGGGGCTGTCATAGATCTGCTTCACTCCCACAGGCGAGCCGCTGGCGTAGCCGTTGTACGCCATCACCTGATCCTGGTAGGACTTCAGGTCCATCTTCTGCTCGTTGGACATGAGGTTGGTGATGGAGAAGGGGTGGTTGAAGTTGTAGTGGGGGTCCAGTGATTTGAGGGGGTCGTTCTGTAGGTCCATGTGCTGCTGCATGGCGTTGGGCAGGAGGTGAGAGCTGCTGGCTAAGGATTGGGAGTGGAGGAGAGAGTTGGTGGAGGGGGAGGTGCCGGAGAGGGATAGGGAGGATGGGGGGATGGAGGAGGAGGTGGAGGAGGAAGGCGGCAGGGAGGCAGCCGGGCTGTGGAGGTGTGAAGAGGACAGCTGAGAGCAGTCTAGAGAAACCAAGGTGTTCCTCTGATGAGGCTGGTCATCTGAAGAGCTTGGGTGGGAGTTATCAGAGTGGGCGGAGTCTGCGCCCTCTGACCCACCTGTGGGGCTGTGATCCTCCCCCAGGTGGTCTCCACCATGGCCTCCTTTCCCTGAGCCCCCCTCCTGGGTCTTGCCTCCCTTTTTGGATGCCTTGTCCTCGATCTTGAAGCGTTTCTGGCGCCTCAGGTAGCAGCCGTTCTCAAACATGTTGCCCGACTGCGGGTGCAGAGTCCAGTAGGAGCCTTTGCCCGGTTTGTCCGGTGACCGAGCCACTTTTACAAAGCAGTCATTAAAGGAGAGCGAGTGGCGGATTGAGTTTTGCCAGCGCTGCTGGTTCTCACGGTAGTAAGGGAACAGATCCATGATCCACTGGTAGATCTCGTTCAGGGTCAGCATCTTGCTGCTGCTCTGCTGGATGGCCATGGTGATGAGCGAGATGTAGGAGTACGGCGGCTTGGCGTGGGTCAGGGAGCGCCGGTACGGCTTAGGGGGGATCTCCTTCGGGCCGGCTCTGCTCAGGGAGCCAGCGGAGGTGTACCCCAACTGACTCATGGACTGGCTCATGTTCTGGTAGTGCGACAAAGAGCCCAGAGAGGTTGGAGCAGTGGAGCCCAGTTGGGTGAGGGTGCTTGAGCTGAGAGAAGACGCCACTGGGGATAGAGACATGTGACTGGGCCCAGTGCCCATTGTAGCCAGAGAAGAGCTGCTGAGGCTGGGGCTGGGATATGCCATGTTCATGCCTGCTGGCGAGCCTGTAGCCGGGTTCAGATTGATGTAGCTGTTAATGGAGCCCATGGAGCTCATGGAGCCCAGACCAGAGTTCATGGTGCTGGGAGAGGAATACATCTGTGGGGGGAGTGGAAAAAAACAACATCTAGTTAGTTCTAGCAAAGGAATAAAAAAGAGAGAACTGGTTAATTTAAATCAACCCTTTTTTTTTTATTTATAAGAACCTAATCGATCAAATCAGGGAGTTTTTAACCTTTTTTTTTTAAATAAACTAAATCTGAGCAACAGCCTGAAGCTCTATTTAAAAAGTCACTCTTATCAATGAACAATGAGGGTCTCAGTGTGCGGAGAGAGGACTTGGATTTCACACAGCTGTGTTAACCTGAAAATGCGTAAAAAGACGCGTCATGGTGCCTCTCAGCTCAGACTGCCTCCTCCACTGTCGCCATGGAATAAAAAAAAAGAAAAATCAGGAATAAGCAGCTCCGAATGTGAAATAAATAGTTAGATTTTCCTTTTTGATTTAAATAATATGCTTGTTTTAAATGAGTCTTGACAGCAGCTGTGAGCCAACATGCGTAAATCTGCTGCTGGGAACAAACGCTATCACAGCCCCGTTTACTGATTATTAGTTAAATATTACCAGACTCTTTCTTCTTGGTAATTTCATCATGGAGCTGCGGTGAGACCTGGAGCTGTTGATGAAATTAACTCTAATTAAATTAGCGAGGAGGGGAAAGATGCGTCATTAGCACCTGAACTGTCGATACTCCACATCAGAAAAAACAAAAGGTGATCTATTGAAGAGCAAATTTATATCAAAATACGTCATTTTTCGTTTAATTAGAATTAAAATTGTATATTTTATTTTTTATAGTTGATTTTTTTTTTTGTTAATATTATGGTGATTTTTATCTCCAAAGCTGTTAGAATTTACTAAAACCTCTATATTACTTATATCATTAGAAAAAAGATTTTCTCACAATTTTAATGCGAACAGAATGAATTTGAAGTTTTTAAGATAGGAGTTTTTTACATCAACATTGGTATAAAGGAGTAATTTTGCTGTCTTGATTTTTTTTGTTGTTGCTTTTTTTTAAATCAAAGCGTTCGTAATGGTTTTATACTCATAAATCTCTTTTTATATATAAGATATATTTTAAATGCACTTTTATTTCATTTAAATTCCTGTTGCGCAAACTAAATTAATCCACATTTCCCGTCTGCTCCGCTTCACCACCAATTTTAAATTCTCCCAAATCTTTCAGAATTTCCGAAACAAAGAAAAAAAATAGTTTTATTATTTATAAGTGTTTAAAAGTTTTTTTTTTTTTTCTTTACCTCGCTGGCCTCGCTGTAAAAGGTATTCCATTCTGGTAAATCGTGCGCTTCCATCTTCACAGAGCTCAACATCCCCAACTCAAATCTTCAGAGAACAAAAAAATATCTAAACTGAATTTTAAAAGTCTTATTTTATATATAGAAAAAGAAATACAATCCTTAGAAAAAAGGAAAATCCGGTCAGAAAGTTTCCTCAGTAGCCAAAAAAATAAAACAGCACTGCGGATTACAGCGATGATCCTCTGATTAATTCAGCCAATATTTCTAATTTCTCAGTCACCCATTGTTTTAGAATGGTATTTTATGGTAATAACAGAGAGTCGCTGGTTTCTTCTTGTGGCCCGTTGGTCTTCCCTTCCCGCCGGGGGCCCTTCGGGACGCAGCTCTGAGTGGACGGAGGCGCAGCGCGCAAACACAGTGAGGAGCTGCGCTTCTCCTCCTCCCCTTATAAAAGGTGGCTGCAGGTTCCGCCCTGCTCCTGACATTTGAATACCGTGTCAGGATCCAGGAAGGGCCCCGCGAAAAGGCCGATGTGGCCCCCTGGCGTGCTGTATATTGGCCCGTCGGCTGCAGCGGCCACCCGGGCGAGTAACGTGGCCCTGAATGCAGCAACTTTTTATCATGATGATTCAGAGATACTAAAGCTCTTTACAATTACAGGATGTTTTTTTTTTTTCCTTCCATGAAGAATCGTTGCTACTGGTTTTAAGGAATACTATAAATAAAAATGAATTATTTTGCATTTACATTTTAAGAAAGTTGTATAAATAATTAAAATGTAAAGTTATATGGCACAAATGAAAAAGGTTTATTTTGAAGAGATGTTTCTTTTATAAATAGACTGTTATCCTCTACAGTGGCACATAAAACAATTCACATTTCACTTGGGGACGTTTTAATAAGGTTTTTGAGGGGTATTGTGAATGTAAGGTAAAAAAAAAAATCAACAAATTATCAAAATCACCACAAATATATATTTTTTTTACTAAAGTTGAACATTTATTGACATAACTTGTTTGTGGTCCCATTTCAGCAAGAAACAAATAATATAAAAATCGTTATAGTTGAAGTAAAAAAAAAAAAACAGCACTAAATGTATTGTTAACAAGATGGCTTGTGAAGTTCTTCAGCCGATAAAGGCTTTATTGTTATTTGATCTTTGATTAAATCTAAAGCTGGATGTTTTGCTCCAAAACATAAACCTTCTCAATAAAAGGTACCCAGCTTTTACAAAGATGATACATTATATTTGCTCCATAATGAATCACCCCCCTGCTCTCTGCCAAATGTCTCACATAAAGTATAATAGTTCACTGAACCAAAATATTCACATTCCATAGAAAATTTTCGGCCTTATTTTGTTACCATAATAAATAAGTAATCAATTTATCACTGAGCAAGACAAATTACATGCTAGTGTGGTCCCTATGGACTTAACCATTACTTATATTTTTAATTATCTAGTTAAGTATACATGGTTTATGGAGATAGTTATGAAGGATGCTCGATAATCCAACTAGATTTTATTTTTTGAACTTTGTATTAGACCCCTCTTCTGATCCAATTGAAGCTGTAGGCTCTAAAAACTAACCTGAATAAGTCAGAGGAGCTCTTGCTGACAGTAAACACCTTATTTTACTGCATGCCTTGGAAAATAATTTGAAAGTTTTGAAAATTTTATCAATTAAAAAGATTTAGATTTTAATCAGTGCTATCTTCAATAACACTTATATTTAACTCATTGGCAGAGCTTTCTGACCTTAAAATGTATTTCTTATGATAACATTATTAAATTGCAGCAAGGTCATGGGTCTTAGAATAAAAAAAAGGTTTATTATCTCATACACGGGGGGACAGAAGAACCTTCAGGGGTACACCAAACTAAATATACTTTTTAGAGCAAACATTCTAATGTTAAACTCTAAAGCAGCTGAAAAAGTAAATACCATGCGGTTATCAATTTAAAAGTATATTCAATAAAAATCGGACCTTTTATATTTGAAAGAAAAAAGCTGCTGCCAGTTCAGTGTATTGAGACTCTGCTGCAAGGATTATTGGAGAAAAACTGAGCAAATCAACATGATTGTAAAAAAAGATCTTCTTATTATATTCATGAAACGTGAAGATAAAGGTTTTATTATACAAAATGACTCGTACACACCTTTATTAGCCCCGTTAAGAGTAACAAACATTATTTAGATACATGGGTTCTCTCAGGGTACCTGGCTTAATCCTTTCCCTTCCTTCACAGGACGGTTAGTTTAATAGGTTAATGTAGATTGTGATTAGGCATGACTGTGTGGATGCATGGTTGTTAGTTCTGTGTCTCTGTGTTGTTCTGTAATTGAACAGGTTGGAGCTTTCCTCTCTCTCTCCTGGATATAAACACCAGGCCCCCCATGACCCCCAAAGAATCGCATTTAAAGAACAAAGGAATATAGGATGGATGGAAGTTTATTAACATTTTATTTTACACCTTAATCAAAAACATATTTTTATGCTTTTTTCATGAAAGTTTAAAAGTGAGCGAATGAATGAATGCGATTTCCAGCACTACTTTGCAAAACACCCACTGCAGATGGACCTACATGGAAGACAAAGCACGTAATAAAAGAGTGTTTTATTAATTATTAAAGTCATTCTGTTTTTATTAGTATATTTGTTGAAATATGCCTTTCATTACTTAATTCTAAAATAAACAACTTTTTAAATCCTTCTTAACAGTAATTAGTTATTTTCTATTGTTAGATTCAACATCTATCAGGAAACTCTAAGGTAGGCATGGTCTTTATGGTTTATTTGGACTGAAATTATCAACTTACTTACCTTAATATAAGTTAGCATAAGTGTATTGGACTCAATTGCACAGACTCATTCAGGCCTCCAAGTCGATGTCCTCTGATCAAATATGCACAAAACTCCGTTTTTATTATCCAATTAGTGTTTCTGGCACATGATTAAAATATTCCCAGAAAACATGTTTTTATTTCAAACTGTTTTATAGTATGTCACAAAGAAGTACACTTTGCAGTGAAGTTTTAAACAATTTGCCAATTGCAACATGGAGCAAACAGTGGAAGCTGTGACCTTTCTTGCCCTGCTGTTTCCTGATGGCAGAAAAAGTAAATGACTTTTACTTATAAAGAGCTTTATCAAGCCCAAGGACCCAGAGGCCCTTTGCAATGCTTTCAGTCATTCATGCAAACATTGATGGTGGTTTAGTTTGCCACAGCTGTGCTGGGGCAGACTTATAGAAACCAGGCTGCGCCTCTGACCAGGACACAACAACTGAGTCAGAACAAGTGGGGGCTCAAACCAGCGACCCTGAGCCACCATCACATTTGGCCAAGAGGAAGGAGACATATTAGCTGTTGTTGACAAAGAGTTTATAGTAATATTAGTCATTTTAGTATATTTTACAAGTTACTAGATTTCACACTAGAAATCAAATATAAAAAAAAATTAGCTGGAATATATTTAGTTTAACATTCACACATTTTGCTTTATCAGTGTGCCACATCCAAACCTTGAACTCAACACTATTCCTGACATTTGGAATTGAAAAAGCTTCCTGGATGCGAAGCGAAACGTCTTTAAAACTTGGAAACAAAGTCCAGTGGATTGTTTTTAATTTTCTTTTTTTTCTTTTTTTTTGGGAAAGACTATGACCTTGATGACTGAGAATCTTTACCAACACATCCAAAAAGAAATACCTAAAGGCAGCTAAAATCAAATTGGTTTGACGGATTAAGCCACATTGGTTTCAAAAAGTTATATACATCCTAATCACTACTGGATCAAATGTGTTCAGAGCATTGCAGCATCAATAGAAGTAAGGTTAAAATAATTTGCTCACAAATCTGAATAACTCACATAAGCCTAACCTCTCAAAAAATAAACAGGCTGATGACAAACCTACAACAGAAAGGTCAAATTTCCAGATACAAAAAAAAAAAAAATTTTTTTTTCTTTTATTGTCATCAATTTGCTCGTAGTTCGGTCTTTACTTTGAATAAAATGTTATAAAAACAATCAGCAGACTTAAAAAGGACATTTAAAATGTAAAAATAAATCATACCAAAGCATTCTTAAATTTTTACTTTAATTTATTTTACCTTTTTTCTTAGATGGCAGGATGAGAGCTTAGTTGTAGAATCATCTTGTTTCTAATCTCCCATAGCACTGCTGACCTCATAAAAACAGCACATTTACTCCATTTCTCTGGGTGTCATTCTTTATCAATCGACCTGACAGGTCTTTGCAAACAGCCCACAGCTAAAACTTTTAGACAATCCAGACGGTTGCGGCTAGATGAGAAAAAAATCAATAAACACATATCCTGAAAGTAAAATGCACTTAACATTTTTCTTTAATGAATCTTATATAGGCCCATTCTGTCATTAAAATGCATGGAAAACAGTTAACCTTCAAAAATCTCAAACATCTGATCTTTGTGGTTGTTGTCTAGTTATTTTCTTTCCTGTTATTCTCTCTGGGTCCTTTCTCACACTCTAATCCCGTCGACCTCCCACTTGCGCATCAATTACATCTCCATTGAGTTCCCATTAAGGCTAAAGCATTGACATTCACAGGCCTCCGTCTGCTCCCAGGCCTGATGTGTATTCCTCCTCACAGCTCCATGCATCAGGATCTCCTCTGAAGCAGCTGGGCGCGGGTGCGTCTTTGGAGAAAGGAACCAAAGGAGGACGCAATGAGCCTCTGGCCTAATTAGACAGCTTTTTATGTAGACCTACTTATAGAGAGTGAATGGAAAAGGTTTTTAATCAGAATATATCTCATTTGATATCTAAAATCTAATCTAATATTTACTAATATCGTGTTATTTGTCATGGATGCAATATTTGACTATCAGAAAGCTGGATCTTAAACACACTGAAGCTCCAATGCAAATGAGAGAAAGCTGGAAAAACCTGCAGAGATGCGTCAGCCGCGGAAATTAAGCACTTTCACGCCCTACTTTTAATTGGAGTCCGGCCCTTTAAGTCTTAGCGCCGTTTAGATGCAATCTAAACTCTTTTAGGAACGAAATAGATTTTTTTTTCTCTGCCACGAGGCATTTGGCGCTACCAAAGTAGGAGAGCCATACAACTTGAAGTTATCTTTTTTATTCTGCTCCTATTTAATGAAATATTTTCAAGCAGCCAGATGATCCATCAAGGATCTGCTTTTAGCAGGATTTATTTTTTGCAAAAGATTGTAACTAACCTTGCAGGTCATTTTGGCATTACTTAGACAGCTTTTCATTTTCTCATACAATAATAAATCCCTGTTATAAAGATGTAATAGGCCTACAACCATATTGGCTTCAGTGAATGTATAGTTTTTGGTTAAATAGCTATTTAGTAGCTTCTATCAGAAAAGAGATGTGAAAAACAGCTTA